GGGAGATTCACTCTAGACTTCTGTAGCAACTTTCTGACTCGCTTACACACACCAACAGCTCTGAGAGACACATGCTCTGAAGACATTTAGGAGGGCAGAAGTGTGGAGAGCAACTGGTAATAACAATATAAGAGTTTTTTATTCGTCTCTTGAGGAAATAAGCCAGAATGTATCAGGACGTGGTCCTCAGGAGCGCCGGGCTCTGGGTGATTCTGAGTTTAGCAGTCGGTCAGCTGACTGAGCAGGAGATATTAAATATCGTGGATTTGCACAACGAACTCCGCTCTCAAGTTCAGCCCAGCGCCGCTTTCATGCAGAAAGTGGTAAGAGATGCACCTGACTTAATAAACTGGCTTTCTTGGTATCTTTGTCTTGCCTTTTTTTTTTTGACAAGAAAAAGTTGAAAGGTGCTTTATCCTTTATATATATATATATATATAAAAAAAAAATTAAGTGTTTTGTTAAAAAAAAAAAAAAACAGCCAAAGTCTTTACTAGCACAATTTTTCATACACAAATGCACATTTTTGTCTGTAAAGACCCTGTTTCTTATTGTTTTTTTTTTTTAGATTTGAAACAATACTTGGATTAATATTACTATGGTGGCTCAGTGGTTAGCACTGTCGCCTTACAGCAAGAAGACTGCTGGTTCATAGCCTAAACAATTTTTTATTAAGTAATTTCTATATATTTTCTAGTGTCAGAAAATAAATGTAATTGGGCAGATATTTGTTTCTTTACCTTACCCCACTGGTGGATATTTTGTTTTTGTCATAGTCACAGTATATTATACAATAATTTTATAATATTATTTTTATTGTTATTATTTTTCCCCCTCCAATGTAGTCGGTTTAGTAAAAGTCTATATACAAGTAAAAACATGCACAAAAAGAATACCAAGTATTTGAAATTAGGGAAGTCTTAAAACAACATTATTATTGATTTGACTGTTTTTTAAGCAATATATATATATATAAGACTCGAAGTGCGACCATTTTGGTTGCATATGCGCCCAAAATTTTATCTATGCGACCTCAAAATATATTCGGGAGCATTTGTGCGAGAGCATAAAATTGTTGTGTGCAGTTTTTACTGCAAAAATGTTCACCACATGCGCAGATTGTCATGTCAACTTTTTGAAGTAAACAAAGCCAAGTCCGTAATGCTTGTCTAGACTTGTAATATTGCTCTCACAACATTTGTCATTGAAATAGCGCCACAGGTAGTTGGTGGATATGTGTAAAAAAAGGCCTGCCGCCACAGCTGGAGAAAATCCTAGAGGAAACTCTGTATATACATTTCCTTGCTGATTGAATGGCAGTGCTCTTCATACATTGAAGACAACTTTCCCAACCACATGTGTGCAAAGTCTGATCTCTCATCTCATGGGACGATCTGTTGATGTTTTCATTATTGGTTTTGGCCTTGAGCTCGGTGTTAATGTTCTATCTCTAAATTCTCTAATGTGGTCAGAGCATCTGATCATCTGCCATCAATCACTGGAATTTTTGGCATATTTACTGTCTCATTAGGGTTGTAAACAACAATTATTACGTTCATATCCATGGTAATTGAGTCATGATACATATTCATGGACTGATTTGCCGTAAAACACAACAGTTGGAGTTATGGTAATAATCATGACTTTAGCATGCTGTTTGATAATGTGTAGTGTCTGCAAAATGTTTACTTTGCAGCACTTTCAAACAAGGGTGTCATACAACGGTCATTATTAATGTTACTATCACTGTTTACAAGTGTTGCAAAATAGCTCAAATTCAGATATGGTAATGAACATTTGGTTCAACAGACTGGGTCGTCTGAACAATCAAAAAGAGTACAGCTATCTGATCAATCAAAACACAATGGCCAATTAAGGAAAAGTAGGGGCATCTGACCAATCACAACAGACATGGGTCATCTGACCAATCAGAGAAAAGTAGAGCCATCTGACCAATCATAACATGCTGGCCCATTTAAGAAGAGTAGCAGCATCTGTCCAGAAGAATGGGTCATCTGACCAATCAGAGCAGAGTAGGGTCATCTAAACAACCAGAAGACTGGGTCATCAGACCAATCAGAGCAGAGAAGAGTCATCTAACTAACCAGAAGACTGGGTCATATGATCAATCAAAACAGACTGGCCCAATTGACTAATCACATCAGACTGTCATCTGACCAATCAGAGTAGAGCAGAATCATCTGACCAATCAAAACAGACTGGTCCATCTGACTAACCAGAGGACTGGGTCATCTGACCAATCAAAACAGGCTAGTCCATCTGACCACTCAGAGCAGAGTCGGGGCATCTGACCAATCAAAAGTACTGGCCCATCTTAGCGATCAAAAGACTGGGTCAGCTGACTAATTGCATCAGACTAAGTCATCTGATCACTCAGAGCAAAGTAGGGTCATCTGACCAACTAGAAGACTGGGTCATCTGACCAATCAGAGATGAGAAGGGTCATTTGACCAACCAGATTACTGGGTCATCCGACCAATCAAATCAGACTGGTTCATCTGAGCACTCAGAGCAGAGTAGGATCAGCTTACCAATCGCCTTGGACTGGGTTATCTGACCAACCAGAAGACTGGGTCATCTGACCAAAGAGAGCAAAGCCATCTGACCAACCAGAAGACTGTCCATCTGACCAATCAAACAGACTGGTCCATACGATCAACCAGAAGTCTGGGTCATCTGACAATCACATCAGACTGGTCCATCTGACCACTCAGAGCATAGTAGAGGCGTCTAACCAATCAGAAGACTGGGTCATCTAACCAATCAAAAGAACTGGCCCATCTGACTAATCAAAAGGACTGGTCCATCTGAGCAATCAAAAGACTGGGTCATCTGACCATTTACATCAAACTAGGTCATCTGACCAACCAGAGCAGAAAAGGGTCATTTGACCAACCAGATTCCTGGGACATCTGACCAAGCGAATCAGACTGGTTCATCAAACACACAGAGCAGAGTAGGGTCAGCTTACCGATCTCTTTGGACTGGGTCATCTGACCAACCAGAAGACTGGGTCATCTGACCAAAGAGAGCAAAGTCATCTGACCAACCAGAAGATTGGGTCATCTGACCAATCAAAACAGACTGCTCCATATGACCAACCAAAAGACTGGGTCATCTGACCAATCACATCAGACTGGTTCATCTGACCACTCAGAGCATAATAGGGGCATCTGACCTTCAGAAGAATGGGTCATCTAACCAATCAAAAGGACTGGCCCATCTGACTAATCAAAAGGACTGGGTCGTCTGACCAATCTCATCCGACTAGGTAATCTGACCAATCACATTGGACTGGGTCATCTAACCAACCAGAAGACTGGGTCATCAGACGAATCAAAACAGACTGGTCCATCTGACTAATCACATCAGACTCTGTCATCTGACCAATCAGAGTAGAGTAGAATCATCTGACCCATCATAACAGATTGGGTCATCTGACCAATCACATCACACTGGAGCATCTAACCAATCATAAAGGAGGAGGGTCATCTGACCAGTTAACTGACACTCTGTGGGAAGAGCCGATTCTTCAAATAGATGTTATGAGAAATTTAAAGAATATTTTGACTTTAGATGGAGGTAAACTGGTTGCAAGAGATTCCAAAACAAAACGAAGACACTTTAAAAAGAGCACAATATGAGCTCTATCGATGTTAGTGTGTAAAAATCACTTTTACAAGAATGTGAGAAACACACTTTAACTTCATCATGTCAATGCAAGAATGTGAGCAGCACAAAGCTGGCATTATAAATCATGAGATAATATTTTTTATCTCATATACAGGCTTTTCTCACAGAAACCACGATGAGGGTTGATGCTAACTGAAAGGAGTGTGTGTGGGTGTGTGGATGCACTAAATACTGTTGCGTAATGAGTGTGTGTGTCACGCTGAGGAATGTGGATGTTATATGAAACTAGAGAAACAGTGTGCTGAGTGTGAGTGTTTTAATAAAGCCCCATGTGGTCATCCTGGCTTACTTTCTTTTGTTTGTGTCGTGGCTGAAATTCAGAGTGCAACTATGGCAAGATTCTAAGTGGAAAAGCCTCAGGCATCGGGCCCTCTTGTGAAACATGTTTTGCTCTCTTGCATTTACACAAGAACAGGGTGGGTGTACAAACAACATGCCTGGGTCATATTTCATTACCAAATTAATTGATAAATAATACATTTTATTTCGTGTAAATAAACAAAGCTGGTTGATTAACCATAAAAATAATTGTAAATTACATCTGAAAAACATTTTGTTAAAAGGTAACACTTTAGCTTAAGTACCAATAATTAAGATTAATTTAATTTAATTAAATAATTTAAAATTAAAATTTAAAATTAATTTAATTAAATAATTAACTTAAGTTATTAACAGTTTATTAATAATTATAAAGTACATATTCAGCATTATCTTATTCTCCCTTATCCTATGTAATACATAAAACCAACTATTACATTAATAACTATTAATTAGCAAGAAATCAAGTGTTTATTGAAGCAGAAGTCATAGTTAACGGTTTATCAATATCAAGAATTGTACTTTAAAATAAAAATAATGACCGTATTTTGTTCTTTATATATATATATATATATATATATATATATATATATATATATATATATATATATATATATATATCAACTTTACTGAATTGATCTTCATCAACAGCAGCAAATAATGTCAATAGCAAATGTCAATTTAGTTACTTTTAAAGAAGGATTAGTTAAATTATTCTGCTGTCACAAAAGTACCAAACCTAAAGGTCAAATATCAATCCTGAATCCTTTTTTTCACTGAACATTAATGGTGATTTTGTGCTTTAAGGTGTGGGACGAGACTATTCGTCTGGTTGCTGAAGGATATGCAGCAAAATGCATCTGGGATCATAATCCTGACCTTGAGCATCTCACAATGGGGGAAAACCTCTTTGTAGGCACAGGACCATTTAATGCAACCAAAGCTGTCATGGACTGGTATGAACAAAACTCATCAGCTAAAACATATACGATAGAAAATATAATATTAAAGTGATTATTTTCTCAAATAAAAAAGTGAGTGAACTTAGTGAATTATTAGGTTGACTTAATTTTATGATTATGCACATAGTTCATTTATTCAATCATTTAAGGCAACAGGTTTACTTGCTATTTTAATTAAAAGTCAACTAATTGCTTTAAAAGCAATGGGTTATCTCACTTTTAAAAAAAAGTAAAATCAGTTAATTGCTAAACCATCGTTTGCTCACTTTTAAAGGGCACCTATGATGAAAACCAACTTTTGTAAGCTGTTTGGACAGGATTGGAGTGATATAAAGACAATAGGTCTCTTTTTTTATTTCTTGACGTTAAAATAGGTTCCAAATCCCTGCAACTCTAAGACCAACCACAAAGTGATGTAGGAGTGCGCTTTTCCTCGCCAACCGAATTGACTGACAGAGAGATGTCTCCATTGTAACACATATAATCATATCCACAAGACAGGATGTGCACAAAGCAACTAGGACTAAAAGATCTGTTCAGCTCTCTGTGATCAGCAGCACCTCAAGAACGAGTTTTATAAGTTTAAAACTTTTTTAAAACAGTGCATGTTTGTAATAATTACAGTTAATAAAGTACAGTACACTACATAATTCATCACCATAGTCACATATCAGTATAATTATAAAAGAAACACACTTTTGATGGTCTGTTTGAGAATTAGTAGACTGTCTGCTTAATATCTGCTGATACTGCTCTTTCAGCAGACATGTAATTGACTATAAGAAACTTTACAAGTACATGTCAACTTAAACTAACCCTAACCTTACAGTCTACTTATAATCTAATGCGAATGAGTTGGCATGTAGATGCAATGTAACTTAATTCAACAAACGGACCATCAAAACAAAGTGTGACCAAGATTTTATTGTACATTAACACAACGGATATCCATATAGCAGCATATCTACAATGTACAGTATATCCTGTCACATTTGAGCTGAAACTTTACAGACACATTTCAGAGACAAAAGGGGTAAAATATAGGTGCCCTTCAAAAGCAAGTAAAGTCAACCACTTTAAAAAGAATGGGCTTACTAACTTATTTAAAGTCGACTAATCTCTTTAAAAGCAAAAATGTTTACTCACTGTTTAAATGAGAGTCATTAGCCCCTTTCACACAGTGATACCGGTAAATATCTGGAAAATTTCCGGAACGACTTTACCGGTATATTCAAAAAAGCGCTGTTCACACAGGCGAGGACGTTACGGAATTTTTCCGGAAAAGAGCATTCACACATCCATCGCAAAATGCCGGTAAATTCTGACATCATTAACCAGAAATGATCTCTAAATGGCTGCGCTTGTGTTGGTAAACATTTGACTACATTACAAACTCTTCGGATGGATCAGTATTGAGTACAACTCCAATGAAAACATATAGAGGAACACTATCGCATGTCGAGATGTTCATGATATGTGTGTGTGCTGGCGCTATGGGTGCTCACGGGCACACGCAAAGCTTGACAGTAAACAAACAACGGATTATCATAAACATTTTATCGATAACTATTTACACAGTTAGCATTAAGAAGGAACATAGAAACGTTATCTGGCTAACATCTAGCAGCTAAAGGTGTCTGGAAAAATATTCAAAGGCTTTTATTCTCATAAACCGCGCGCAAGTGAATGCGTCTGACTGTTCTGATTGGCTAAAGCAGACGTCTCACGTCAGCACGTTCTAGACGTGGATTTCCGGCATTATACAGTATAATGCTCTTTCCGGCATTCTTCCTTCTGCATTCACACAGCGCAGCATTCCGGCAAATTGCCAGTAATGTTACAACTTCTCTTTCCGGAAAATAGCCTGAACGAATTTACCGGTATTTTCAAAAAGGACCTGTTCACACATACAACCTTTCCGGAATATTGCCGGTAATTTTCCGGAAAGGTCTGTATGTGTGAAAGGGGCTAATGAAGTGCTTTTAAAGCATCAGGTTTACTCACTATTTTAAGTAAAGTCAACGAATCACTTTAAAAGAATCAGGTTTACTCACTATTTTAAGTGAAGCCAACTAATCTCTTTAAAAGCAATGAGTCTACTCACTTTTTAAAGTAAAGTTAAATAATAACAGGTATACTCACTATGTAAAGTAAATTAGTAAAGTCAACAAACCACTAAAAGCAATGGGTTTGCTTGCTTTGTAAAGTAAAGTCAACTAATCACTTTAAAAACAATGGATTTACTCACGTTTTAAAGTAAAGTCAAGGCTTTTTACAGTGTATAACCAGTGCTATAACTCATTTCTTTGCACCACAGGTTTAATGAAAATTTGGATTACAATTATAACACTAATGACTGTGCTGAAGACAAAATGTGTGGCCATTATACTCAGGTGAACAAACTCATTTTCTTAGTTCCCCTTCGGGGGGAACTTCAGCACTATAAGTGGATTTGATTGTAAAATCCACGCATTGGGAGGTTCGGTTCAGAAGCTACTCGTCTGAAAGAGTATTGAACGGGCCAATTAAGAATGAATTGGCAGCGCAAGCCTGCGCAGGTGAGCGGCATAAGCAATCAACTGAGTATATAAGCTCACCTGGCGCCAGCAGACGCTATCCTTTTCGCTTCAGAGACTTTCTGATCGAGTCGATGAGGGTTCCTCCTGCTGTGACCAGCGATTCTGAGCGAACGAGAGCATTCTCCCGGTCCAGAGTGTGTACACGCAGTGGCAGACGGTCGAGCTGGGTTTCTCCCTTGCCTGGCGTTCTTTGGGTCCGGTCCTCCAGAGCGGTGCGTATAAAGTTGCAAACTTCACAGAAAGAGCAACACAGTCGTGCAGCACGTCCTTATCAGGACGGCGCTCCGACTGTGCGTTTCTGGATGCGGTGGTTTCCTGTCCTCGGATGATGGGCGCGGGCACTGTGTTACATGTCTGGGGGTCCAGCATGTTAATGCGCTGCTCGCGGGCAGTTCATGTCGTCATTGCGATGCCATGACTGTTGCGCAAGATCGCGGTTAGCCTTTGCAAAAGGGCGAACCACCCCAGTTGTCCCCTGCTCTGCAGCGGGCACTCGGGCAGATCTGAGGGTTTCAGCGAGAGATAATCCGTCGCCCACGGGCCCGCGGACCTCCCGCTCCTCTAAGCGCTCCATCCAAGCTTCGGGCGGGGGAAGCGATCCGTCTAACAGATGGTAGCCCTTACGCCCGATGACACCGGAGACCAGATGTCCACCGCGGCATCGGAGGGTGGGCTTTCATTGTCCGATGATCCAGACCCGCTCGCCCCCTTCGGGCTGGTGAGCGCTGTCACTACGGATCCTGAAACGGACATGTTAGCCGTGCTTTCCCGGGCTGCTTCGGCCGTGGGTTGGAGATGGTTTATCCCCCAGCTCCGCGGCCGGACCGACTAGAGGGGCGTTCCCTTCTTCCCGGAGGTGCACAGTAGGCTCACGCGGTCTTGTAAAGCACTTTTTTCTGCTCGTGCTGCGTGTTCCTCCACCCTAACCACTCTTGACGGTGAAACAGCCAGGGGGTATGTGGCGTTTCCTCAGGTTGAGTGCGCGATGGCGGTAAATCCGCGCGGCGCCTCTTCTTGGCGGGTTCGCCTCGTCTCCCATCCAAAGCCTGTAAGTTATCTACCTCCCTCGGAGCTAGAGCTTACATAGCTGCGGGCCAGGCTGCTTCCGCCTTGCATGCGATAGCCACCTACCAGCGCTACCAAGCGCAGGCGCTGGCCGAGCTGCACGAGGGTGGGTCCAACCCAGGCTTACGAGCTTCGCACCGCCACCGACTTAGCTCTTCGGACTACTGAGTCCGCTGCGTGTGCGTTGGGGAGGACGATGTCCACATTAGTGGTCCAGGAGCGCCACCCCTGGCTGATATGCGCAAAGTCGACAAAGTCCGCTTTCTTGACTTCCCCATATCCCCAGCCAGGTTCGGCGACACTGTCTGTGAATTCACCCAGGAATTCAAGGCGGTGAGAGAGCAGTTGGTGGGTGATGTCTTATCGGCGGTCCGTAGCCCGCTCCGCCCGCCGTGCCATTCATACCTGCTCCTCGCCGAAGGCGCCCGCCTACGAGAGCTGCTCCGCCCCCGCACACGCCTCAGGCGAAGCGAGCGCATCGGGCACCTCGGAAGCAGGCAGCCCCCCTGCCCAGAACGCCGCTAAGTCCGGCAACGGACCGCGAAGCGCCCCTGGGACAGGCCATCTGGAGAAGAGGGAACTTGCTCTTTCCCCGCTGGAGGGCGGGGCCCCATTTCCTACGGCACTTTTTACTGCCATGAAAACATTATGAAAGGGCACTTTTCACTTCCCCAGATGTGACAGCCCGAAATCTGCCAGTCTGGGACGCTATGCTTTCTAGCTTGCAGATTCGGTGCGTTTCGCCAGTGGCTCACGAGCGCTGGGAGGACGGTCTCCTTTCTCCCACCCCTCGAGCCTCCCCTCCGGAGCTCGGGTTTGGAGTGAGAGCAAATATCTCACCTCCAGCTTTTCCGTGGGACCCGCGAGCTTCCCGGATCAGCACACCCACTCCGCGCTGCCCCACTGCTGGTACGTCAGCGATTGTAGCGATGAGTCCATTAGCGAGAGCTCTGCCTGCCTGGTTAGCGCGGGCCAGCTCTTCGCGGTGGCTCATACGCACAATCAGACTCGGCTATGCGATTCAGTTCGCGAAACGGCCCCCCAAGTCACGGGTGTGTATTCACCAGGGTCAGCCCCCTGTCCGCCCCTGTCTTGCGAGAGGAGATTGCTGTCCTCCTGGCGAAGGATGCAATCGAGCCGCTCCCTCTAGCCGAGATGGAGAGCGGGTTTTACAGCCCACGCTTCATCGTGCCCAAAAAGAGCGGTGGGTCACGGCCAATCCTAGATCTGCGCGTTTTGAACCGCTGCCTGCACAAGCTGCCGTTCAGAATGCTCACGCAGAAGCGCATCCTCCGGTGCGTTCGTCCTCTGGGTTGGTCTGCAGCATTAGACCTGATGGACGCGTATTTCCATGTCTCCACTCTTCCTCGCCACCGACAGTTCTGCGGTTTGCGTTTGAAGGTCGAGCTTGGCAATACAAAGCCCTCCCCTTCGGGCTCTCTCTGTCTCCGCGGGTCCTCACCAAGCCCGCGGAGGGTGCCTCAGCGCCCCTTCGGCTCGCGGGCATCTGCATACTCAATTTCTTTACGACTGGCTGAATTTGCCCTCTCTTTTGATTATGCACAGAGTTGATTATGCACAGAGACAAAGTGCTCTGGCACTTCCTCCTGTGGGGGTTTCAGGTCAACCGAGAAAAGAGCAAACTCGCCCCCGTGCAGAGGATCTCTTCTCTCGGGCTGGAGCTGGACTCTGTCACCATGGCAGCGCGCCTCTCCGGAGAGCGCGCTCAGCTGATGCTGTACTGTCTGAGAGAGCTCGACAGTAAAATAGTGGTCCCACTGAAACTATTTCAGAGGCTCCTGGGGCATATGGCATCCGCAGCCGCTTTATGCCGCTCGGATTATTCTATATGAGACCACTTCAGCACTGGCTTCACGATCGAGTCCCCAGACGCGCATGGCACGCGCGCGCACACCGAGTCTCTGTTACTGCGCTGTGTCGCCGCGCCCTCAGCCCTTGGAGCGACCCCTCGTTCCTACAGGCCTGGGTGTCTCTAGAACAGGCGTCCAGTCTTGTTGTCGTTTCAGCAGACGCTTCCAACACGGGCTGGGGGGCTGTGCGTTGCGGGCATGCGGCTGCGGACCTGTGGAAAGGTAACCAGTTGCATTGGCATATCGCCTGGAGCTGTTGGCAGTGTTCCTCGCTCTCCACCGTTTTTTTCCGGTGTTGGAGCGGCAACACGTGCTGGTCAGGACGGACAGTACGGCGGCGGTGGCGTATATCAGCCGTATAGGGGGTATGCGCTCTCGCCGCATGTCTCAGCTCGCCCGCCGTCTGCTCCTCTGGAGTCATCCGCGGCTGAAATCGCTGCACGCCATTCATATTCAGGCAAGCTCAACCGTGCAGCCGATGCGCTCACACGGCAGCCTTGCGTCCTGGAGAATGGAGACTCCACCCCGAGTCTGTTCAGCTGATATGGGCGCGATTCGGGGAAGCCCAGATCGATCTGTTGCTTCCCCCGAGATCGCTCATTGCCAGTTGTTCTTTCCCTGACCGAGTGCTCTCGGCACGGATGCACTGGCTTACAGCTGGCCTCGGGGCACGCGCAATACGCGTTTCCCCCAGTGAGCCTGCTCGCGCAGTTACTGTGCATGGTCAGGGAGGACGAGGAACAGGTTGCTGGTTGCGCCCCTCTGGCTCAACCGGACCTGGATGTCAGAGCTCTCCCTCGCGATAGCCCTCCCCTGGCAGTCCCTTCGAGAGAGCACCTACTCTCTCAGGGACAGGGCACCACCTGGCACCCTCGCCGATCTTTGGAGATTTTTAGACGCGAGGAAGACTTAGGTAACCTCCGATTGCGGTGGCTAATACCGTCACTCGGGCTAGAGCCCCCTCCCCGAGCGCGCCTATGCCCTGACGTGGAGTCTATTCACTGAATGGTGTGTCTCTCGCTGAGAAGACCCCCGTAATTTGCCAGATCAGCGTTGTGCTTTCTTTACGCCGAGAGAAGTTGGAGAGCAGGCTGTCGCCCTCCACACTCAAGGTTACGTGGCTGCCATCTCCGCTCTCATAACGCGGTGGCTGGCAGCACCGTGGGAACGCATAACCTCATCATCCGGTTCCTCAGGGGCGTTAAGCGAATTAATCCACCCCGCCCCCTCTCATGCCCTCTTAGGATCTCGCCCTCGCTACACAAGCCGCGTCAGATCCCTTCGATCCTCGACTCAGTATATTTCTGTCCCTGAAGACAGCTCTGCTGGTCGCGTTGATATCGATTAGAGGGTCAGGGACCCGGAGGCATTTTTCGGTCAGTGACTCGTGCCTGTAATTGGGCTGGCTTCTCTCACGTCCTGAGACCCCGCCCGCGATATGTGCCCAAGGTTCCTACCACTCCGTTTTAATACGAGGTAGTGAGCCTGCAAGCGCTGCCCTCGGAGGAGGCAGACCCAGCCCTTATTTATTGTCCAGTTCGCGTTTTGCGTATTATCCGGACCGCACTCAGAGTTTAGATCATCTGAGCAGCTCTTCGTCTGTTATAGCGGTCGGCAGCAGGGAAGTGCCGTACCGAAATAAGTTCCCACTAGATTGTGGATGCCTTTCTTTCACTATCAGAGCCGAGATGAGCCGCGTCCCCCGAGAGCGCGTGCGCACTCCACTCGGAGCTTCGCATCCTCTCGAGCGCGCGCACGCGGCGCCCCTCTAACAGACATCTGTAGAGCTGCGGGCTGGGTGACACCCAACACATTTGCAAGGTTTTTACAATCTGCGAGTGGAGCCGGTTTCCTCAAGGGTATTAGGTAACCCTTGGTGATTGAGGGAACAATTCGGTAGGGTGTTGAAACACGCTTGCTGCGCCATTTTCCCTAACACGGAGATACGTGCGCCTTTTTATCTGTCAGTAAAGTTCCCCGTCAGGTGAGCCCTGCAGATTCCTCCGTGGCCCCCAGCACTGACTCAGCGGAGGAGTCACTTGCTGGCCCACTACGTTGTAGGTCTGCCCGCTGGTCAGCCCGCGTTTTGGGTAAAGGTGCCTGCTATGTGTGGTCCCCACTAGGCGATCCCATATGCTTATTCAGCCACGGTTAAGTCCCCCCCCCCTGGGCGGACCCGTGTCTTCCCTCCCCGCTAACCACTCTTTTGCTATGCGTACTCCCCCTTTTTAGGGCTAGTCCATATGTAAATTCTGCCATCTATCCCCCCTTGGGTAACGGATGGCCTCCGCAGCGTCCTCCCTATCGGGATTGCACGCTTCCCAACGTACTGTCGTATTTTCCTAGAATTATCTAGATGCTCACGACTTCCCAAAAAATATATATAAATCCGTAAAACTTCTGTTGAAGTAGGATAAATTAGGGCCAGGGACACGTTGGAGGACCGCGCCCCCCATGATGTGGGTGCGTCACGCTTGCTTGACTATCTCCTCATCGGGGGTGTTGGTAAGGTGCAGTCATTATGGCGCTTTCAATGGGCTCCCAATGCGTGGATTTTACAATCAAATCCACTTATAGTGCTGAAGTTCCCCCCGAAGGGGAACGTTCGAGGTTACTAAAGTAACCCTTCGTTCCCCGAGGAGGGGAACGGAAGCACTATACTCCGTCGCCATAATGACTGTCCCTTAGCTGTTGAAAGTCTCTTCAGCTTAAAAAGGATAGCGTCTGCTGGCGCCAGGTGAGCTTATATACTCAGTTGATTGCTTATGCCGCTCACCTGCGCAGGCTTGCGCTGCCAATTCATTCTTAATTGGCCCGTTCAATACTCTTTCAGACGAGTAGCTTCTGAACCGAACCTCCCAATGCGTGGATTTTACAATCAAATCCACTTATAGTGCTTCCGTTCCCCTCCTCGGGGAACGAAGGGTTACTTTAGTAACCTCGAACGTTTTTTTTACAGTATGTTTATGTGGTCTAATGATGTGATCTTCTGTTGTTGTTACAGCTGGTTTGGGCAAACACTACAAAAATCGGCTGTGCTTCTTATTTTTGTGACACTCTGGAGAAACTGCATTTTGAGAAAGCCACGCTTCTTATCTGCGATTACTACCCTCAGTGAGTCAATAATATAAAATATAATTAAAAAGGCAATAATCCAGACTAAAATGACATCAGTGTTCTAGAATGTGTTCTGGAATGTGTTCCACTAGAACATGTCCATTGAAGTCTCAAATTCAGCTAAGGCCAGAACTTATATTTATCTGATATTTCTTCTTGCGATTTTTCTTTCAAACTAAAAGAAATCCTAGTGGCCTAAATAGTTTATAAAATATAGGTAATAAATTCATCTTTTTATAAAATATTAAATAAAATTAACAAAAAATACACATTTATTTGCTGATGCAGAATTAAATAAATACTAAATAATCATGCTTGTTAAATTATTATTATAGTAAAATCAAACTCAATATTTTGAGATGATTAAAATGCTTAAGGATTTTCACAAGAAAGAATTAAACTTATTAGCACAATACACACATATACTAGATATGTATATAAACATATTAACGTAAGTACACTGAAAAAAATTACTCAAAGATGATTCCTTAGATTTACTCAATTTTTTTATGTTAAGTGGTTGTAAACAATTTAATTGAGTTGAATTTAAACAAACAAATTAAGTTGAACATTATTCAATTTAATTTGTTTGTTTAAATTCAACACAAATAAATTGTTTGCAACAGTTCTGCATGCAACACTTTTTTCAGTGTAACACTGTACACACAAATATATATACTCATACGTGTATTTATATATATGAGCAATATCATACTCATAGCAGTGCGATATGGCTGTATATCTGCACTGGTGGGAGGCGTGCGTTGGCACGAGGCCGCATAATTGTGTCTATAAAAACAAAATCAAACATGGAGAGTGTCAAAAACCCTTTTGTATGAGGAACTACTCTATCCCCATTCAAATCATAAGCTGACAGTTAAACAGTTGAGTGTGCATCTTTTAAACTTTAGATCTGTAGTGTCTGCTTTTTGCTGGCTGTATGTGGGCGGAGTAATACACAAAGGGTAAAGAGGCTGTAGGAGTTCTGATATTGCAGAATATCGCACGGCTATCAGCCAATCAGATTTGAGAACCAGACAGAACTGTTGTATAAATATATAAATATATATATATGAATATAAATATATATAACGCGAGTCTCTTTTTGTTAAAAAAATTATCGCCGTTAATCTATTCTCAAAGTTGCGTTAGGAGCTGTGTCTATTCTTCGCAAGCTATGATGACTTTCACCTTGATATTTTAGCGCGGATGTATACCTGGCCGAATTGCACTGTAGGGAGTGAGAACGAGTCTTCAAGCCTGTGTGTATTCCTACTGTGAAATCACCACATCAAACGTGACGTGCTAACATGGATGCAGTTTACTAGAGTAAATCGGATTTATTTTAGCTCCACATCTAACTATTAGGCACCTGTAGAGTTTATGCGTTCGAGTGAAACATATACAAATAAAATGGAGCGGGTGCTTTTTAAAATGAATGAAAGTCAAACCGGTGACAAAAAAGTGCCCTTCTGAATCAAATCAGCAGGATGCCCTTCTGGATCTTTCACTTACTTCGAAGACACTACTGACTACATTTACATGGACATCTGTAAACTAATAGACAATAATATAATTAAGGTGTTTACGTGAAGTGCTTTCATGTAAGAGTTTCCTGTAATTTTGGATGACTTAAACTGCAGTTCAGCAGTTTTACTTTCACTCATGAACATTTTATTCATGCCCCCATGACAAACTGGGGTAATAGACGCAAATAAGGAGTGAGGACTGGTAAGAGTGTTATAGAATTTAATAATGCACGCTAAATGGAAGTAAAAAAAACTTCTGCATTTCGCGATGTGTGTGTGCAGTCCTATACTGACAGCCGCTTGTGTGGATCTTGTCGGAAAATATGGCGAAAAGTCCCACGTGACAGTAATAGTGTAATCGTGGTGTTTACTTCAATAATGCCACTAATATCTGCATACTCCACATGTCTTAATTCCATTTCTGTTTAGTTCAGTTATGACTTTATTTGGATTAAGGTGACCAAAAATGGCTTATGTACGCCTAGAGTTCAAATTCATGTTTACCTGAACAGTTAGTAAACACAAGGGGCTCTATTTTGACGGTCCATGCGCAGAGCGCAAAACGCAGGGCGCAAACGCTTTCAGGGCGTGTCAGGACGCGTTTTTGCTAATTTAAGGACGGGAAATCTGCCTTGCGCCACGGCGCATGGTCTAAAAGGGTTGAGTTTATTTTCTAAATGAGTTATAGGTGTGTTTTGAGAATAAACCAATTAGAATCTCATCTCCCATTACCTTTAAGACCCAGCTGCGTCGCGCCAAGAGCGCATTCGCCATTTAGAGAACGCAAAGTAAGTCTAAGTTGAAAAAATGAGCATTTCACAAGCAAACAGTTCACAGTTAACAGTTTTTTAACAGGAAACAGTTAAACAGAGCATCTACTGCGTGAGAATGAGAGATAATGGATCACTTTCACTTTTGGATAGGGAAACCTTTACGCACAGACATCAATTAGTCTATAAATAAATACTTTTGTTTGTTACGTCAGATATTCGTTTCAAAACTATTTCTAAATTCAGTTCTAATTTCCAGCAAACGAATAAATGAACAACAATAACGAAGTGTATTCAAAAACCTGAGTTATATCCTAAAACACATGCTGTGCCCCATATGGTCTAAAACCTGACAGGTGGGCAAATCTAAGCTTGTTTTTAATAAAACAAATATAAATACGGATATAATAAATAATACTGCTAATAATAATAACATTATACAAAAGCAGATTGTTATGAATGAACTGAAAAAGCCTCCCGAGATGAAGAAGACATAAAAGCAGTGGTTTTTCATATTTATGTAGGCTAGAAAATAATATGTTTTGTAATATTTTAATCCTTTATATTTATATTCTATATCTATTCTTATTATATACAATATATATCCTTAATATTTAAATTTTTTCATATGTAAAGATATTGCCTGTTGCTCTCTTGTGTGTATTAAGCAGTGTGTAAGCGAGGCTCAACTTTGCGCTGGAGTTTAGACCGGGTTAGTTTTGGTCTAATGAAAACTCTATTATAGATTCTCAAAATAGCAACGCGCCAGCGGTCCGCCTCAGAACGCCTTCCTTTTTAGACCAGAACGCCTATGGGCGCACAAATGAGCGCTAATGCATTTGCTATTTAAAGAGCTTAGCGCAACGCCTCAAAACGACTCTTGCGCCAAGCTGAAACTACCAAAAGACTACTGTGTCACGCCTTGCGCAACACTGCGCCAGGTGTATGATAGGGCCCAAGTACATCTTGTTAAACATCATTTATTTTCAACACCAATTATCAGAGTAGAACAGTTTCCCAAGCAGTTTCTGATGCATTTTGAAAACCGGAGATGAGCCCCTGGTCTAGTGCACCACCTGGCTTAAGAAACCTGTTCTCAAAGACTTACTTTTAGTCATTATTTGGGTAGCACACATATTCTGAATGCCTTTGGCAGAATTCAAATGAGCCATTTTAATCCTAAGATTACAGTGAGATTAAAATTTATATATATATATATATATATATATATATATATATATATATATATATATATATAAACAATAAATTAATATTTAATTAATATACTGCTATAAAAAATAAAACATAAATTTATATATGTATATTTAACTAACAAACAACAACTTTTCTGTAAATAAACTCAACGCTTGACATAAATGCATAAAAGTACATTCATTATATTTGCAAGTTTGTTTGTTTTATAAAGATTGTGTTGTCCATAATTATATTCAAATCCAAAAATATTATTTATTAAATCCCAGTTTTTCCAAGACCAAGAGAAGCCGGGTTCATATATTAAAAAAAAGTGTAGCGTATCAAACAATATCATTTCAATTTTTTTACAGCTGTTATAAACAGATTTTTAAGCTTCTTTCTTTCATCTGTAATTAAAATTCTGCATCATCCATCAAACCAACCTTGTTTCTTCATTATTCATAGAGGAAATATTGAGGGCCAAAAGCCATATGAGTCTGGAGAGTCATGCTCTAAATGCCCTGAAGAATGTGAAAACAACATCTGTGGTAAAAACTTAAAGCTAAACATGAAATGAAAATGAAAATACACATAATCATTTTTTTTTTTTTTACTTTCTGATTAAATTTTCTCTTAAACTCTGTCTTTCTCGCAGTGATGGAGAATCTATTTCCTCCTTTTGAAGATACAGATCCTAAGTCTACTCAAATGTCGACGGAACCGAAGGTTCAAGAGCCCACAGTAGTGTATGTTGAAACTAAGGAGAGAGACATGCTAACAAAAATAATCAGTCAAGGATCTACAGTGCAAAGTGTTTCAGCTTCGCTACTGATGCTCTTCTGGCTGCTGGCGGCCTTAGTTTTGTGAGGGTTTGCATAGAAGAACTATAATTTCCTGATGAAAATCACAGAAAACACAGAAAAAGATCTTATTATTTTTGTCTTGTTCTCCTGTGTAAATATCTAAACATATATGCAAAAATCAGAAAAATCTGAGAAGCAAACTGACCCATATTATCCCAAAATGTCGGCTCAGAAAAATTGATTTGTTTTTGTCTTGATTTATTTTTATTTTTTTTACTACAATTGCAGAGCACAAACTCATTTAATTTTGACCTTTTCTTCAGAAAACTATAGCGTGGTAAAATTTATTAAAATGGATGGATGGATAGATGGTTACACTGTAGATGGATGGATGGAGGCAGCCAGCACTGTCACCTCACAGCAAGAAGGTTGCTGGTTCGAGTCCTGGCTGGGCCAGTTAACATTTTTGTGTGGAGTTTGCATGTTCTCCCTGTGTGGTGTGGCTTTTTCCTGGGTACTCCGGTTTCCCCAACAGTTCAAACACATGCGCTATAGGCTAATTGAATAAACTAAATTGGCCGTAGTGTAGGGGAGTGTGTGAATGAGTGTGTATGGATGTTTCCCAGTACTGGCTTGCAGCTGGAAGGGCATCCGCTGTGTAAAACATCTGCTGGATAAATTGGTGGTTCATTCTGCTGTGGTGACTGATGAATAAAGGGACTAAGCTGAAGGAAAATTATTTGATAGATGGATGGATGGATGGATGGATGGATGGATGGATGGATAGATGGATAGATAGATAGATAGACAGACAGACAGACAGACAGGTAGATAGATAGATAGACAGACAGACAGACAGACAGACAGACAGACAGACAGACAGACAGACAGACAGACAGACAGACAGACAGACAGACAGACAGACAGACAGACAGACAGACAGACAGACAGACAGACAGATAGATAGATAGATAGATAGATAGATAGATAGATAGATAGATAGATAGATAGATAGATAGATAGATAGAAAGATAGATAGATAGATAGATAGATAGATAGATAGATAGATAGATAGATAGATAGATAGATAGATAGATAGATAGATAGATGGATGGATGGATGGATGGATGGATAGATGGATAGATAGATAGATAGATAGACAGACAGACAGACAGACAGGTAGATAGATAGATAGATAGATAGATAGATAGATAGATAGATAGACAGACAGACAGACAGACAGACAGACAGACAGACAGACAGACAGACAGATAGAAAGATAGATAGATGGATGGATGGATGGATGGATGGATGGATGGATGATTTTGTTTTAGAACTTATTCTATTATATCGTTTTAATTGTAATAAAGATGATAATTTGGGAAATTTTGGGACAAAATTATTAAACATGTCGAAAGCAACTTTGCTTCTCAAATATATCTTGATTTTATAATGTTTGCATATTTATACTGGACAAAAGACATAAATGCAGAAGATAAAAATATGTTTGGCAATGTCTCCTCAGTTTAATATAACTGCCCTTACTATATACTTTATGCACAAATATGAGAAAAAGTAACTTCATAGAACAAAATCATAATCCCACGGCATCCAAAAAGTGAAAAAAATAATAACAATGATTTTTTACACTTACTTTTCGAGTGCCTTGGACTTATGATTTCATTATCTATATCACTTATCATATTTACCCTTGAAGCATTTTTTGTTTGATTTTGGATTTATGTAACTTGATTACAGTTTCATTATAGTTTATAGGCATTCTACATAATTTACTGAAACAAAAAGATAAAGAGTCTGATCATTACTACATCAATCAAGAAACACACAATTAAGATAAAAAACAGTTCACATTTTTCCTGTCTGGAGCATTTCTAAAGCTTTAAAAAGTGATTCTGCATTAAGCTCTAAAACTCTAGTTGGCATTTTAAGAGTCTTAATGAAGAATTGTTCAGTATTAGGACTAATAAATGTAAATACTCTTTGACAAGGTTAAATATCAAGCAATAATCCTCTTGGTTGACATAAGTGAGATTTGTTTGTCTCCTAGTGATGTACGATAGACTTTTCAATGTGTAAATGTAATGAAATTCTTGACTCATTATAAACAGACTTGAATTAGGACTGCAGTGGCATTATTATCCACTGTAAACAAGACAGAGAGGGAAAAACAGAAAATGAAGCTGAAATATTGTTCTATTGCAGCATTTACACGACCTGACAAAAGTCTTGTCTTCGATCTCAGTTGTAAGAGCAACAAATAATAGCTTGACTTCTAGTAGATCATTTGGAAAAGTGACAGATTTTTCTGATGAATCATCTGTTCAACTGCATCCCAATCCTCACAAATACAGCAGAAGACCTACTGGAACCAGCATGGACCCAAGATTCCCACAGAAATCAGTAAAGTTTGGTGAAGATAAGAATCATGGTTTGGGGTAACTATCAGTATGGGGGCGTGCGAGAGATCTGCAGAGTGGATGGCAACATCAACAGCCTGAGGTATCAAGACATTTGTGCTGCCCATTACATTACAAACCACATGAGAGGGCAAATTCTCCAGCAGGATAGCGCTCCTTCTCATACTTCAGCCTCCACATCAAAGCTCCTAAAAGCAAAGAAGGTCAGGGAGCTCCAGGATTGGCCAGCCCAGTTACCAGACATGAACATTATTGAGCATGTCTGGGGTAAGATGAAGGAGGAGGCATTAAAGATGAATCCAAAGACTCTTAATGAACTCTGGGAGTCCTGTAAATGCTTTCTTTGTCATTCCAGATGACTTTATTAATAAGTTATTAGAGTCGTTGCAGAGATGTATGGATGCAGTCCTCCAAGCTCATGATGGAGTCATACACAATGTTAACTCTTTCTTCACTGCAGCATGACTTTATATTCTGTACTGGACATTATTTCTGTTAAGTGACAAGACTTTTGTCTAAGCAAAGTCAGACTTTACTGTCCTATTGAAATAATTAAAAATCAAGGCATGATCATATTTTATTTTGGTAAAATAAGTGTAATCTAGAGGCCTTTGCCTTTCATATAAGCCACTTCTTATACCAAATGATAAACTAGAAGTGCAGTTATTATTTGTTGTTCTTAAAACTTGGATAGGCGACAAGATATTTGTCAGGCAGTGTATATAGCTTTTTTAAATGTAAAAAAAAAATCATGCATGTGTTCAGTTTTATATCACTTATTCATCTCAATGTCTTCTCGTGTTTACTGTAAATATGATTATTTTGCTGCATGATTTCTGTTTTTGATGCAGCAGGTGTAATGTGTTTGCATGACAATCATGCTTTTTATACATTTTCAGTACAGCATATATTTAAATAGCGCACAATCAGAACCTATAAAAACATAATGTTACATTTATGTACAGCTGAAGTCAAAATTATTAGCCCCCCTTTGAATTTTTTTTTCTTTTTAAAATATTTCCCAAATGATGTTTAACAGAGCAAGGAAATTTTCACAGTATGTCTGATAATATTTTTTCTTCTGGAGAAAGTCTTATTTGTTTTATTTCGGCAAGAATAAAAGCAGATTTTAATATTTTAAACACCATTTTAAGGTAAAAATTATTAGCCCTTTAAACTGTATTTTACAGATAGTCTACAGAACAAACCATCGTTATACAATAACTTGCCAAATTACCCTAAGCCACCTAGTTAACCTGAATAACCTAGTTAAGCCTTTAAATGTCACTTTAAGCTGTATAGAAGTGTCTTGAAAAATATCTAGTCAAATATTGTTTACTGTCATCATGACAAAGATAAAAGTAACCAGTTATTAGAAATGAGCCATTAAAACTATTATGATTAGAAATGTGTTGAAAAAAATCTTCTCTCCGGGGAAATGGGGAAAATAAATAAAGGGGCTAATAATTCTGACTTCAACTCTATGTAAAACATGTTATAGCGAATTCAAAATGTATTTTAAGTACAGGTATTCATATGTATGCTGAATGTCATTTATATTTTGGTAAACAAATGTGATGGTAAAAACTGGAATTAAACAATATTGCCCTTTTATACTGTTTAGTTTGTTGTTTTATGAATTTAAAATAAGCTATATGGTCAATTTATTAAATGTACGGTTCAACATTGTTCTTATTTTATCTGTAATAAATACTGTGTAGTCATGTCAACACTTTCAGGGTTCTTACACCTTTTCCAACTTCAAATTCCAGCACTTTTCAAGCACTTTCAAGGTGCATTTTTAAGCTTTTCCAGCACCTAACAATCCCGATAAACATACGTTTATATGGGCTGTAATTTGTCACATTTAAATCCACTGTGCTATTTTGAAAAACACAATATGACATTTCGACTGAAATTGTTAAATACTTTGGAGCATAAATTTATTGGGATAGTTCACCCAAAAATGGTAAAAAATATATAGGCCTATATATATATGATAATAATAAAGAAATAATAAAAAAAAGTTCAGTTATTGGATGAAGTATCTTTTAAAGTTTGGTCTCCTACATAAAGTTGATGTCTCAAAAAAATTGTCAGATTTTGTTTGGGTGTAGTACCAAACTTCATAGAGGAAACTTTGGTTTTATATTCACACATTCGTTCATTTAGTAGTCTCTATACTGTTTACCATGTTAATATTCGATCGAAATTAGCATGCAGGTATGACTTCTAAACAATACTGACACTATCTAATTCACTTTGAACAATGTTGTCCTTTGATAGTCATTTGCTGCTAATATGATTTTTCCTATTTACAATTTTCAAAGAACACTTCAGAAATTATATTATTAAGGAGAATGCCTGAATATCCGAATATAAAACCAACTTTATCTCTATGCAAACTTTCATGACCCATCGTTTATTAAATTTCATTATTGTGCATTGCTAATCAAAATTTATGTAACAAATTAAATCTTTATATATATATATATATATATATATATATATATATATATATATATATATATATATATATATAAAAAATTATTTATTTATTTATTTATTTTTTACTGATCGCTATACAGTACAATATTGATCATCTTTACAAATAATAACTCAGATGTTGACTCAAAAAAAACAACACTAGATGGCGGTATAACTCAATAAGTGTCAACATCTCAGTGTGCTTTTAGAATTTTAAAGAGGCTGTTGTTTAGTATGTTAATAACGAAATAAATCAATTAAATGTAGCTAAACATTTGCGATGTCTACAGTTATTGATGTCATTCAATGATAATGTAATCAATCTCAAAATTCACTTTTAGTAGATAAACACATTTAAATGTCGTCCAGCTGCTGGAAAACAAACCAGCATTTGACCCATTTGTGTATTGTTTTCCTCTGACGAATAGATAAAACAAATAAACGGGGTCCTCGTTACTGCCGCCATATTGAACTAAATAAACTGTAAATGACGTACCCAGAAAAACAGACA